GTCCGTCAAAGACAAAATTCCATTGGAGAGACCGGACGAATTTGACTCAAAGAACACGAAAGAGCCTTACGACTAAGACAAATAAACTTATCAGCTGTTGCCGAACACACTCATGAAACCGGACATAAAATTTTATTCGATAAAACTAAAATTCTTGCATGTAATCAGTTCTTCTACCAACGAAAAATCCGAAAGTCTATAGAAATCTATAAACAACCTAACAATCTTAACCGCGATTCAGATCTCTACCTGTTACCAATTTGGTTACCAGTCATCCGAGACGGTGTTTATGCCCCTCATTTAGCTCCACTCCCCGCAAGCAATATATAAGCAGGTACAGAGTAAAATACGAGCCAGTTTCAGTCAAGCTCTGAAGACGCAGGAGGAATCCAGAAATGTTGTAAATGTATTACAGTAGCCTGTGGAAGTTTCTTTGAAAAATTAAATATCATTCGATTTCTGGGCAATAGCCATATTGTTTAAAATTGGTCAAGTCTGCCATGATAGAAACCATATGATCTATGTTTGCAATTGTTTTAATAATGTTCTACTTTTGACAACTAATCAAAACTAAATATCTGCAGCGTAAGTTAAATAACTTAAGACATTTCGAATGGATCATACTTAGGAAGAAAAATGCCAAATAATAAAATTATATTATTCAAGCGGACATAATGTTGCAATGGTTAAAAGAGAATATCGACAAATAGAGTAGAAGAGTTCCTCCATATATTACTTTACTTTCAAGGTAAATTATTATATTATTACGACACTTGACATCATGACTTGGAGTTCTACTATCTTAATTTTTATATTTCACATTTTTTAGAAAATATTCTATACCATAAAAAATTATCCGTAAAGTCCTATAGTAAAGTTGTACGAACGCTAAAATATCATAAGTTTCACCCGTAAGTGCAAGTGCAAAATTTAACCGATGAACATAAAAGGCGGAAGCTCGAATTTTGCACTGAAATGTATAGAAGATCCCAAGAAGACAAAAAAATTGTAAACAAAATAATATTTACGGATGAGGATTCGTTCACAACAGCAGGTGTATTTAATAGGGTGAATAAATATTTTTGGTCCACCAACAAGCCACACGAAATGCAGGCATTGAAAATCCAAAGACGGACGTGAGTTAATATATGGTGTGGTATGTTAAACAATATGGTGGTAGGACCAATTATATACGAAGGATCCTTGAATGGCCGACGATATTTAAATTTCCTTGCAACAGAAATAGAACAGTTGTTAGAAAGTGTGCCATTTAGGAATTACTTAAATTTAATTAAATTTGGCATCAAGATGGCGCACCTCCACATAATCTCCAACCGGTTACCGATTATCTAAATAATAAAAATAGACTTTGGATAGCTACGCAAGGAACTATCAAATAGCCTGCCAACGGACCCGACCTTCCTTGTAACATTTTTTTGTGGGCATACTTAAATTTTTTTGAATATTAGGCCTGAAAGTTTACAAGTGATAAGAAAAAGACTTAATATCGTTTTTTAAGATCTAAACCGAGAAAACCCTGATTTTATCACCTCGTGTATTAATAGGAAATTGAAAGGAAATATTGTCCGATGTATAGAAAAATGTGGAAAACATTTAGCATTAATTTTTGATATGTTTACTGTTTGTATTTACACTTTTTTTTCTATCCTTCAAAATTAACCAGTACATCGTAACCCTATTTATTATTAATATCAAATAATACGATATTTAGGTATCAATTTCCGTTCGTTTGCTGCTTTTCTATTTGCAATTTGATTCCGGAAAAATCTAACGAATCTAACAAATACGCATCAGACGTTTTCCAGCAAATTGGATATCGAGTGGGTTACAATTCGTAACACGATATCCGGATCATATCATTATTGGTTTTTTATCATCTCTCAATGTCACGCGTAGTCTCCTATAAGACTATTATGAATATTAAAAACATCCCGTAAAGTTGCGCGTAAAAGTGAGACGAATGAACCGAAAAAATGTTGTGAAACGCGGAATTCAGTATCCATGGAATGTACTTGTAATCTTTTAATGTCTGTACAGTCTGCCGATAAAAATTAATCATAATAACAAGTTGCTATGAATTCTTCGGCGAATATATTTGTAAATATTGGAAAGTGATGTTGCTTGACAAGCAAAATTAACTAAAGTCATCAATGGTTGAGATGTCGGTTAAAATTTGACTATTATGGTATATTATGCAATATGTTTGGTGGTTAATAAACGAGTTACTGAAGAAGTATATCAACCTGTAGCATACTTTTTTTGCGACCGTCAGTATGTTGCAAAGCTACACTAGTACATTTACTAAGCGACATGTGACATCAAAATGTCGCTGCTAAAATCTACTTAAAACATCAAATCACTCCCAAACCCGCGATTCATGTACCAGAAACACTCAAAGGTGCTCGCGGCAGTGAATAATGGAGCTAACGTCTAACAATTCCTGCACCCTTAACCCGTACATAATTTTAGTAGAAAAACTACCTTAAGAATTAAAAAACAACGCGAAACAAAAATGGCAAAGTGGAAAACCGATTTAAAATTTAATAAGACATAAGAAATTTTATATAAAAATCTACAAATTTAATATATTTTGAATAAACTAAATAATTTAAAAATTTGTATAATGCAAGAGATAGAACAATTATTTAATGTATATATTGTACACATCATATAAGAAACTTGGTGACAATGATTTAAAAGTCATGAAATCGCAAGTAATTAAAAAATAATACAGAGTGAATTAAACAAGATGGGAGGGGATTTCTCCCCTACATTCTGATGTACTCAATTCTAAGCACATCAAAGTTATAATACTTTTTTATATGGAACTCTCGCTATTAGAATGTTGTTGACACATTTACTCTGATATACATAGTTTAATTAAATTTTTAAGTATTTTAGTAGTAGTAATAGTTTCAATACGTCTCGCATAAAATCGAAAAATGTACATTTAAAAAAAAAATTAATTTTATAAAACGTTTTATAAAAGCGTGAAAAAACAGAAAATCTATCAAAAACAAGATTTTATTAAAGGTGTTGGTCGCAGACCAAAAGAGGAACTTTGATTATATAAGGATCTAAATTTAGAACGCTTTATGACCTTTTTACTTAGCTAAACTGACAACATGAAGAGCTCTGCAGGAAAAGAACAAACAAGAAACACCACGTAAATCAAATACGTGAACAATAGGGTCAATTTTATTATCCGAACAAATTAATACGAGAAGATAGTTACGTGCAGAGTGTTTAAATAATCGGAGAAAAATTGGTTTAACATTCGTTCCGTTGGTTAGTTAGTTAGGCGCTTATATGTATATGTCATCTACTAAACTTCTTCTACTTATTTTCGTATGTTTAGTCATGTTTTAATCATTGAAATCATCTTGAAACAAACTGCGAATATTACGTTTGACCCAATAGATGAGGCTGTAAACTAAATATTCTTCATGTATATTGAAATAACTATTCTGTTGTTATTTTGTATTTAATTTTACTCATTTTAACAGTTGAAAAAAATCATAAGAAATAATTTATTTTATTTATATTTTTTTTAGTTGAAATAATTTTATCTATTATTTAATAATCGATTTTTTAAACACCACTAAACATCTTTTGGCTTGCAAAAGACGGCCATTTATATACATGAGAGAATGGAGCGTTCCCATTGTTTAACTACTTTATATATTTGTAATAAATAAAATTTAAAATAATCCAATTTGTTAAAAAAAACATTGCATACAAATTTATTTCGACAGCCAAAATGTTTAAAATGATTTAAAAAGATTTATTCGTCCGTTCCGATTTATTGATTATTTCTAAATTAGATGTATGTAATCATATTTATATAATAAACTCGACACGTTTTTATTTATTTATAAAACAAACTCAGCTCATGTAATGTACAATGTAAATGATTTAGTTACTTATCAATGTGAATGAGTAAGAGAGAAAAGAATCTTCATTAAAAGACGTCTTTAAATTTAAAAAAAATTTGCCTCCCAAAATCGATATTTAAGATTGGGTTCGTTGTTGCTAATTTTTAACATGGTGTTTTTTTCCCAAAATAAATGAAATGACATTCAGTTTGTTAATGAATATCATTTTAATATCTCCGCCTTGACAAAATAAAAAGTTAAAGTATCAAAATTTCATATGTCCCAATCCACTTGTCTACCAAGTTACCAATACGGAACGAACACAGGACAGAACCGAGACACATGAAGGAACATAAGGGAGACCAGCGGCCAGCAACAATCATCAGAAGAGAGACCGACTCTGAAAGTTGTCATAGTGTACGCGTGTACGCTAATTTTTCAAAGAAACTTCCACAGGCTACTGTAATCCTATTTACAAAACTTCTGGATTCCTCCTGCGCTGTTGGTGTTGAGTCGAACCTGCTAACGCTTCGCCAATCATGCTGGTGTTTTTTTCAACCGACGCGGGAGGAATCCAGAAGTTTTGTAAATAGTATCACTAGGCTTGATGTAAAGCGGAGTTCTCTGTCCAGTAGGAAGCACAATACAGATACAGAACATGAAAAGATCGACTGATGACGACGATTAAAACACTTAATAGTCGATATATGAAAAAAAAAAACAAATCAACGCAGCAGAGTTCGTAGAATATTATAAAATAGTTTAGCTACTAGCTGTAGTGCAGAGTGCATTGTCATCCATCAATAGCGCACGAAATGAATTTGAGACGCTGAACATATCCGGGACAACATAAAAAAAATTGTATTTATTTATTTTTCATCGATCATGCATGCTCATTAGTCTAGACCTAACAGCATTTTGGCGAAATCTACGAATTAATTAAGCCACGGCAAGAGCATATAAACATTATAATTATTATTTATTACGGTGTTTACCCGACAAGTCATAGGTCAGTAGATAAGCAAGATAACGTTTTACAAAACACTTTTTACTCTCTTGTAAATCTGTTTCTGTCTTTATTTAATTGACGGTTCAAAAGTTAACGCACAGAAAAAAGACTCTCAATTTCAACGATAAGAGTCATGTAATGTCTGGAAGTTTGTTATTTCAAAAGTTACTTACAACGGTTTTCGGATGGACAATTGGCATTTTTAGTGTCCAAACCTATTCCAAAAGTACACAAAGCGGTGAATTAGTTCGATCTATTGGTAAGTTTGTTTTCGTGACCTATTTTCTAAAGCAATACATGTAAATATCGCATATTTTCATTATAACGCACTCGCGTGTGATAAAACTTTTCCAGCACTTAATTCTGTAAGATATGTAAATATGACCCGAAACTGTTTTATCTTCTGTGTTAGTTAGTGTTAGAAGAACAACACCTGTTAGACTATTGTAATAGACATTTCAAATAACAAGCATTGGATTTTGGTTGAGACTTTGGGTACACCAGTATAAATAAAAGGGCCAAAAGTACCCATCGATCCCTAAAAAAGTTATTCAAGGTCAAAAGTAAATATTTATATTTATAGTATATTGTCACACATATTCATGATCAGGCCTTAAAAAAAGTAAAAAGGCCGATTTGCGTTTCTCATTATTATGTATACATCTAGTGTCTACCATTACAGTTTTACCGACCAATATTTCTAAATAATGTCACCTTTGTGCTTTATTTGGAATGAACTTTTGTCTGAAAACGAACATAGCGAACTGTTACAGTTGGACGTGGAATGAAAACTGATCGCTGCAGTTTGTTGATTATTTGAGAAGTGAATGATCTGTAACAATTCGAAGAACTCACGCCCGTTGAAATCCATTTTGCAGAGTATTGATCGCATTAAAATAATAACGGAAATCGGAACTACAATTTAAATAAATTACATATAAGTATAAGGACAATTTTTGTAGATGATTTCGTTATCTACAATTTATGTTCAAAATATTGTTCTTTGACACCGATTTCGAGAAAAATGAATATTTTAACATTTGACATCCAATAACTTTTTTAGCACACCTAGAGTCAACGGGAACTTTTGACACTTGTTTAACCAAGGTCTCCATCAAAATCCACCTCTGTCATAATTTTTCTTATTTGAAATGTCTATTTTGACCAAACATACTAATTTTCTAAGCAAATGAACAAACGGCTGACTGTACTACTGCTTCAAGCTAGCTAACATATCTCGAGGGAAACTCGGACCATTATTTCATAAATATTTAAAATTTCTCAGTACTTGGTTAAGCATGCAAGAAAGTAACTAGTTTTGAGAAAAGTCGAAAGCTCCTCAAAATGCGCTCTCGCCACAAATGAAACATTTTCTGCATGGTAATATTAAAACGTTTCAATCCTCTGCTAAGAATCGAATAGTAAGGCACTTCGAGATTACCATTTTGGTGACAAGCAGTACATTGGAGAACTTTTTTAAGTTGTATAAAATTTCCTATTAACATACATTCTTTTGCAATTTTTTATGTTTTCATTTATTCTGTATACAATAAAAAACAAACAACAAACAAAAAAATTGTTAAATATTAAAACTTGTGTTATTTTTTTAGTCTGCATTCACTCCTAGTCAGATACACTATATTATTAAGGTAGTGTAGTATGTATACTCACTGAGTTTCTTTTCTTGTGGTGCCTAATCTAAGTCTACGTCCTCCTTCAAAGTTGCTCCATCAATTAAGTTTGCAATTACGAACTACAATACTCAAACCAAAAATACCCTCACTAATTCAAATAATTATCCAATCCTTTTACATCTCCACTAACTGCGACCACCCGAAAGACCCCAACACCACTGTTTATAAACTAAACACCAGATGAAGCAAATAAGTTTTGACTATCTATAATTTTCCCAATTCTTTTCCGATGTGAAATTTTTAACCAATCTCGTCTTTGTTTTAAGGGTCTGAATATATACAAATCAGCGAAAAATTTTCATTTCAAAGAAGTTGGAAAAGATGGAAAGTACTGTTGACTTCTTTATGGTGATGGGTGAACCATCACGTCAACACCTCGCAACGTCTTTGGCATTTTATGAAATTCTGTTTTTATTTTAAAATTGGAATAACAGATGCCGTCTAATGAAACATTGTAAAGAAAATGACCCACAATGGTTTTTAGAAAACAATTTGTTAACAGTTATAGTGTTAACGAAACAGCTTGTAACTGTATGTGAAAGTCCTAGTAAACAGTTGTTTTTGACAATGGCCTGCGACGGGATATATGGAATTTGAAAAAGAAACGATTTTTTTTTAAATTTTAAACAGTATTCTTAAGAATTTCTGAGTTCATTCTCCATAAGGTTTGACTTTAGAGGCATTTAATAAAAAAACATTTACACCTTTTTTGCATTTTATCTAAAATACTGATACTGCTCTAACATGAATATCCGCTTTATTGCACGCCACTGGTTGAACGATTTTCCTTTCAAATTGTATAACAAACAGGGACTCGCGGCAAAAAATTCGACAGCACTGATGCTTTGCACTATTATCTGAAAATCCAACATCGACAGACAATCAAAATTAGGCAACATTTTTGATGTCTACTTCATTTGCCGTTCAGGTTTATATAACCTACGATAATATCTTCAATTGGTGTTAAACAATAACCTGGGACGATATAATTCAATATACTTACTCAGTAATTAATATTGATTAATCGACCAACCTACACCATTGATATAACTTTTTCCACGTCAATGTTTCATAAATTTGTTACTTAATTCGTCAATTGAGACTGAGGTGTCGATTTATTTGTTCATATGGCGAATGAAATTAAGATGTTCTCTTGTATATTATGTGTACATTTCTTTATTGCACTGTTTTCAAGCGTTTAATTAATTGTGTTAATCATTAATCATGCACGTATTTAATCACCAATGTGAATGCATTTGCTCCGGGAAGAATAAAATTGTATCCTGTTGCATGTTAGATGGACCTTAAATGAAGTCACATAGTAACATGGCGGAATTCAAAGACTCTCCGGATGTCAGTGAGAAGGTCCAAGATCACAGAAACCTTCGTGATTGGACAATTACCAATAGTTCAGATCCCGAGCACCATCTTCCTATCAATATGGTCTTCAACGACGGACACAAACTATCTATTACCGTGTACAGCTTTCTGATGGTGTTTTCCGCTGTGGCCAACTTGACAGTGCTATCTTGGTTAATTAAAAGGAGAAGGCAGACACCGACCAGAATCAACACGATGCTGATGCATCTAGCGATTGCCGATTTGTTGGTGAGCAAAAAAAACAAATTTGTTTTGTACTGAATGGGTACAATAAGTATTATTTCTTGTTGCACGTCGGTCAGAAAGCAATCGCATTTGAGGTTTTCGTCGAGTAATTTGACGATAATTTAATAAACGAAGAATCCACATTTTAAGTGGAAGCTGCAATACGTTTTGGGTACAGGAAATATAGGTCAAATTTTATTGCTTACTATTATAGTTACTATTAAAGTTGTCCAAAATGGCGCAGCAAACCACTTTACACACTTTGCGTTGATTTTATGAATTTTTAAATCTTAGAAATCGCTGTATAGAATTGCACGAAATTTAAGAACTGTTGACATAAGTGCTTCCAATTGATATATTAGCCATACATTGTCATTTAAAAGCTTACTGATAACTCTGCATTTCTGATATGCCTCAATAAATAGAAATTAAAAAGAACTTTTCGAAGAAAACTGCAAATGCCATGTACCCTCAACCATCTTCAAATTTTGAAAAATCAAAAATTCGAGTCCTAGCGAATTGTAAAAATATATCCTTTAATTTTTACTGTATTTATTTCGACGAAGACCTTTAAAATACATGTTGGGAGGGGCCAAATGAAACAAAGAATGAATTTGTTTCTATGCTGATGTTTCCTCGTTTTATTACGACAATCTCAGGACACCACAATGGAAATATGAAAACCATTATACTTGGAATAGAAATTTCTGTCAAACTACATTAAGAGGCGAATAACTAATAAATAAGAATAAAAATCCACAAACGTTTGATGTAATAAAGCAAACTTATTTAACAATAGACGCAGAATGTAGAATAGGGTTGATAAAATGAGATTTAGGGAAATGTACCACTTTTAATTTAATCGTTTTATCAAGAACGGTGCATCCGAAAAGTGAGTTTTATGCAGAAATGACTAGACTATCCAAAGAAAATATTCATCTTAAAAAATACCAGTGGCGTAACATTATATGCGGGAAATTTTAAAAAATGTTGTGCACCTGCAAATGCCTCTTGATGCTTCTTATGCAGAAATGACCACACTACCCAAAGAAAATATTTATCTTCATATTCTTTTTCTTCAAAAATATGCGATACAAATCCCGGGCGCCACTGGTAGAGATTAAAATTTTGTGTACCTAAAGATACCTCTTTATGCACAGAATGCATTTAACACATTTCACAGAAAGATCAAGAATAATTTCTTAGATAATAAAAACATTTTTTTCCTGAAAACTGTATCTCAAAAGTTTTAGTTTCGGAGAGATTTATCTCCTTCACCTTTTTTATTGTTTACGCAGAAACTAGCGTTTATCTAGACCAACCGTAAAATATGCTGTCACACATTTTTTAGGTAACGTTTTTGATGATGCCTTTGGAGATAGCATGGTCCGCAACAGTGCAGTGGATCGCAGGTGATGCAATGTGCAGAATCATGATGTTCTTCAGGATATTTGGGCTCTACTTATCTAGCTTTATACTGATTTGTATAAGTATTGATAGGTACTGAATTGTTCTGAATATTTTGACTATTTCAAGTGTTTACTATGCATTTCAGGTATTACGCGGTACTTAAACCATTACAACTTGCTGTGATAGACAGAAGAGAGAAGTTAATGTTAATATCTGCATGGGTCGGAGCTGTATTTTGTAGTGCACCCCAGGTAATTTTAACCAAGCCTACAAATAGAATGGTGGATTGGTTCGTTACTGAGGAAACATATTTCTATGGATATTGGGAATAAGGAAGCACGAAAATCCAGGGAAAGCTCACGTTCAAGGTTGCTGTAGAGAAAATAAGACCTTTTCCACTAGCAACAACTCAAATAATAAATAAATTTAGTTACTATTTCGCAAACACAAACAAATCTGATATCCCAGATATACCAATCTTTAAAGGAGCTTTAGGATGATGTGTATAGCTCAACTATCTTGACACGGTCGCAAATATATAAAACTACTTTCAATTATGGAATATCTAAAAACTTGTTAATTTTGCATTCTTAAAAAAAAGATGAAATCAAAAATTTGAGAACGAGCCATTAAAGAGTCCCTTAAGAGAGCTTCATAATAATGTGTTATGGCACATCAGATTTTAGACATTATATTATTAGATGTAGTTTTATATCTTCGCTACAGTCTCATGGCAATACATTATTTTGAAAGTTTTTTTAAATGACTCTATAATGACTCAGCTCAATAGATTTATATCAAAATGGCAAATTAATTTAATATTTGGGGTATTGCGAGAGGAAAAGGCAACATTATGTCAACCACAAAATTGAATATAGTTTTGGGAGGTCTCAGATAGCATTTCCGTGCTTGCTTTTTTACCATACACGCAGATACATGTTTTTTTCAGTGAGGGTCACTAACGAAATGGCCTACTCAGTAATTTTGAAAATCCCAATTTAAGTCCAAATCAAACTTCTGTCTCATATTTTCTTTTTAGATGTTTATATTTCACGTGGAAAGACATCCCGAGGTGAAATGGTACAAACAGTGCGTCACGTACCATAGTTTGCCAACCCCTGCATACGAGGTGGCCTATTCGGTGTCGGGGATGATAATGTTGTATGCTTTTCCGTTATGCGTTATCATTTATTCCTACGCATCGATTTTGGTGGAGATCTTTAGGAGAACTAGAAATCCCAGTGGGGGTAAATTTACCAATCACTTTCGTTGTTTTGCCTTTATTTGTGTATCTGAATTTTTAATTGATTTTTCTATGGGAAGGATTGAAATAATTCTATACTAATTGAAAATTCAGTTACAATAAAAAAGGTCCAAATGTCTGCGTCGCAGCCGCTACTATGTTGGAATTCTGTTTTAAATATCGCGTATATCGCGAATTAAACATTTAAAAACATCTTAAACAATTTTGTTACAAATATTCAAAAAAGGATTGTAAGAATCGTTTTTTTTTATTGATTGTGTTTCTAAAAAATAATTTAATATCATTTTACAACGCGACCATTAACCACATAAAACTTGATTGTATGTTAAAAGGAAAATAGAAGATTCTTATAATGAAGTACAAATAAATGCAGTGAAGTACAGTAAACAGTGGACTTGACGAAAATGCGATATTTATTGTCCACCTCTTCCATATTATCTGATTGAAATGAACATAAAAAATATCGCTGACGGCTGAAGCTCCAGTGTGCTCACTGTGCTCAGAATTGACTCAATCAACGAAAAAAAAAAAGAATATATCCCGTTTTCAATATTATTAACAGAAAAAACGTCTGCGTACGTAATAAATATGCCTTAATCGACTATACATAACTAATATATTTACTCAATTGAAATTAGGTATGGCAAAACTTTACAAAACAGGACAGAACGATACGAACGATACTGCCGAAATGAACAATAGCTTCATCGATTTTAACACTTTCTGTTGAATTGTTACACGATTACATGATTACTTTTTGTTAAATATAAATTCAAATAATCTTGATAATAACGAAGCAAGGTGCATTTATTAGGTGTGGTAGTGTGCACTAAAAAAAATGCATTGTATAGTGGAGTATTTTTAATTTGGGAAAAATGGTTCCTAGATTGCCATTTCTGAAGTAGAAGTTTAAAAAAAAAACGAAGAACGAACGAACATTACAAAATCATAGGGTGTCATTTGAAATATAGAAATTCCCAATAAATCAGATAGGTTTAGACTAAAAAAACAAAAAATTGCTTTAAGGAGTGTTGCATACAATCAAAGGACATACATTTTGAAAACATTTTCAGTTATTCAAGGTGCTCCGCAAAAGAGCGACAATATATATATTTCTAAATGGAAGCTATACATTTTGCATATTGTCATTACTCCTAGATATTTTTATATGTTTAAATTTCAATTTTGACAACAACAATTATAAAAAAATATATATTTCAGAAGACATGCTTTCCTATTATGGGGCTTAAGTTACTCAAATGTATTACTAAGAATTCACCAAAGCTCGTTAATTTATAACTATCTAGTGCCACTCTTTTGCGGCGGAACACCCTATATAATTGAATTAATCATTAAAGTCTGGTGAGCCAATGGAAAATTCATAATTATCTATATTTTTTTTTACAGCTGATAGCATTACACGATCAAGCTTAGCATTTCTCGGGAAAGCAAAGATACGCACATTGAAGATGACCATTATCATAGTTTTTGTTTTTTTTGTTTGCTGGACACCTTACCACGTCATGTGTGTGTGGTGAGTATTTGACACGATCGCCATCCCCAAAAACATGAATTTTAGATTATAGAGATGTTCACAAAGAAATACAATTTTGTCTCATTTTCATAAAATGGTCAAACATAATATGAATGCTATGATCCAGATAAAACCCAACATTAATGCGCCATTATTACAAGAATATATATTTATCTCTATCTCTACTTCCACATTATTAAACCAAACATATTTTTTCATCTTTTGCATTGAATCTGAAATTTTTTTGATACTGAAACACGTTCTATTGGTTCTGTCTGAACTGATTTAATTGTACTGATTGCTGACGATATTTTCTTCGATGAAACTTGGTGTTCTAACAAACACAGTTTTTACTTTCAGTGATTGTTGTTGAAATTTTCATGTTTCTTGTCCGAAACTCTTTTGTATTTGTAAACTTCTTCTTTCTGCAGCATACTACTTTTTTCCTCCGACAAAATCTTGCGTATGAAGTATTTAGACAATCGCCGGAAGCAAAATAACAAATTTCGACCTTTTAGTTGACAAATGCACGACAAATCAGAGCACTGACGTCATGAGGGATTAACCTCGCCCAGAGGGATAATTATTTTAAATCACTTTCGTGGTGGCTACGGTTTACTAGATCCGAAATTCTGTTGATTTTTATAAAACTATTTCTTAAGCTTTCGAGGTTTGATATCAAAGAAAATATAATGTCGACTTCAATATGTATTCACAATACGTTGCTTTCATATTGTAATGTCGCCATTATTTTTGCTTCGAGTGTCGGCATATAGGAATTATGGATGTCGATAACGTTGACAAGTGGTATTTGACTGAAATAAATGTGGAACAAACAATTATTATTGCCGACATCGTTAGTAAGGAACTAGGGATTTCCACAGCCAGACGGCGAGTAAACATCTTCTTTTATCGCGTTCTCTGGTTGACAAATCGATAGTGGTATATTTCCCTTAAGATTTACGAGATATAAGCAGCTGCTAAGGCAAGGCCATCCTCTACGAAAAAATAGGTTTGGTGGTTTGTTTTAAATAACTCATATGGATAATTGAATTCAAAATTTTTATTTACATCCGAACCCTAATTTTTGGAAGTCAACAATAAACTTAAAAATTATTGTTTATAAAATGACCAAGGCTCTTGGATTTCTTCGGGTCATGCCGAACGTATGAAGAAACAAAAAAAAAATTGAGAAGGTCCATTCAACATGCGTATGTCCGTGATTTCAAATCTCTGTCTTAACCAACGACCTTGCGGCATTCAGCAGACAACACGGCCGCTGACAGATCGTCAATAAGTTTGAATGCAGCATTTTTACGGCGGTATTTTCTCTATATATATCTAGATCTCGTTAAAAGTTCTAGGAAAATTAGTTAAGTGAATAAAAATAGTGGTTTAGAAAAAAATATCGCAAAGTTCAGGTTAGTTGGTGAAACGTAGACGCATGCGCTGAAAATCATTATCTTCTCTATGCCTGCGGGGCATCAATTTTTCCAGTAGTAGGGCGACTATATTATCTATAGTCGGTACGATTTGCGATGTTATAGTCGGCCATAAAATCAAGAGACAGGAAAAGAAGCAATTGTCAATTGGCTGCGCAGTCAGCGGATTAATTGCACAGAAAATGGTCTAAAATTTGAGTTATTAAAAAATTTTAAAAATTAAAAAACAAACTTGCAGTATACTACAGACGAAATAATTACTGAAATGGATCATCAAGTCCGGTGTACTAACATCCCAATTTACAACTTGACAACGACGGCCCCTACTTCCAAAGTTTATGGGTTCAAAGCATATAGCTATCAGATAATATAGTGGGCAAAGTACAGTAAAACTTGATGCGCCACAGGCGGCATTGGTATTTTCGTAGAGAAGGTAATGCAGGTAAGTTCACTCGTTTTTCCAGAACATTTAATATTTTGAGAAAACATTGCCTTAGAAATAGCTCATCTAAACTTATTGACGATCTGTTAGCGACATTGGTGTTTGCCGAATGCTGCAAGGTCATTGGTTCTTTTAAATTTCGCGTATGCGCATGTAGAAAGGATCTTCTTCTTTTTCATATATTATTGTCATGGGCAAAGTCTCTATATCTCTAAATAAAAATTCTAGCAAAATATCAAGTGTGTATTTTTTGAAATGCAATTTAAAGTTCTTTCCAATTTTAAATAATAATAATTCATTTTCTGAGTTGATCGCCAATAAACTATTAGATTTAGAAATATTATGAATTCATAAATTCTGCGTTAAAAGTTGCTTTGGAAATGTTTTCATAGTAACACAATATTTTCCATAACAAAAAACATTTTCGAAAAATACCCTATAACTCTGGAACGATAGAAGATATTAATTTAAGGTGTTTACTGTTATGATTTTTATGAGCTCTAGACATTTTTCGTCTATCTATTTTCAAAGTGTCCAAAATCCAAATTAATACAATTTTAAGAAACAACTTGAAAAATTTAAAAATTGTATTATAATAAAAAAGAAGCTTTTATTGTGCCAGTTTAACATATATATAATGGTTATTTTATCTTGTTACTCGAAGCTCCATTAACACCTCATATCTGTTAGTAGTCCGTTTAAAATTTCGACAGAGATGGAACCAGTAGAATAAAGTGCCAAAAGTCACCATCGACATCGTATGTACTCCAGAAATAATTTACAAAAATACTATTTTCCTGGGGATCAATGCTAAGAATTCGCGATTATAAAAGTTTCTGCATTATATGAACCCATTTCCACAGAGGTGAAGAATTCGGTTTCCCCAGTCGACAGACTCTATTCCAAAATTTGGACTTTTGAATAACTTTTTTCGCACTGGTGCACTTAAGGTCTCCGCCAAAATCAGGAATTTTTATTTTTTGATCTAACTGTGTCGATGGCACCCTGATAACGATTATTGTTGTATAACTATTGGCCTTAACTTTTTAAAATTTTTGTTTACATTTCTTTAATAAATGCCTGATGCAACGAATTTGTAGGTACTGGTATGATAGGGAATCTGCTTTAAAAGTCGATCAACGCATCCAGAAGGGTTTGTTCCTATTCGCCTGCACTAATTCCTGCATGAATCCTATAGTGTACGGCGTTTTCAACGTTAGAGCTCGCAGAAGAGGGGTTAGAGTTAGACCAAGAGTCGACAGCAATCCGCTGCCTAGAACTAAGCTGCCCGCACCCAGAATGACAGCAGAAACTCGCCTGTCACCGCTGGAACTCTCTTTAAGGAGCCTCGAGTAATAGTCTTCAATTAAGTGAGTGTGTTAAGTGACCACTGATAAGACAGGGATTGCTTTTAAGACCAGTAAGGCATTCTTTTTTAATTAGCAAAATTATTTATGATTTGAATATTGTATACCAGCGAAATATTTTGCAGTAAACATGCGTTTTGCGTAGAACTTAAATCATCTGTGTTTGTAAATGTGTCACTCGCGTACAGTTTGTCCAAGTTTCGAAACTCTGAGGTTATTTAAAAAAAATCATAAGTTGCTTAGATTTTGCCCTACAAGGAAGAAGTGAATATTAGCTATTTTTGGACACTGTTTAGACATTATTTATTTGCCTAACTGTACAGGTAAAAATGGCCTTAATAATGCAGTCAAATTTTCTTCGATTACCCGCTAGTTTTTAGTTATAATTTAATTATTGTTTTCATTGTTTTGTTTGTGTATTTATTACAATTTTCGCAAACTTACGAATAATTTGCTAATATCATAAGAATTAAGTTTGAAATTATTTTAATTTTAATTATATAGAAAACGAAGGACAGTAACTCGGGCTACCGGTAATCAAAGGAACACTAAAATAGTAAAAGGAGCGAGTAAACGGTTTTACAAATTCATGCTTTCGCGTGAGTTTACAGGCTTCAGGAAGATTAATATCCCATTAATATCTGCAGTGAGGATTTAACGTTCAGCTGATTGCGAAGTGATTGCTTCGTGATATTTGTCCTAGTCTGCATTTTACACCTTAATTATGAATCTTCGGTAAATCTATTAACGATATATTAATCGCCCTGATAAGGCCTGCACGCCTAGTCGAAAGCTTAACTTCATAGTAAAAGGCTGTTTGAGGTGATAATCATTCATACCCTCTTGCTATAATATATCAATGCTGGATCCCCCCACCCCCCTTTAATTATATAGTCTAGGTTTTTCGCAGTAGGTCACGAAAGCTGAATGTTAATATGGTTCTATGTTGACCAATTTTAAATAAATTGCAATTTTTAATTTAAATATTAACTTTGCAGCAACAAGTACTTTGCGATTGAACTATAAGGAGGTGTTCACAAACAAAAACAACAAAATTACTATTAATATGTTCCGGATAGTATAGTAATTTTGGCGATAAATACGGAAGTAAATGTGCTCATCGGTTCAAATTCGCAGTCATTGGTCACGAGTTCAGTGCTCGTTTTAAATTTTAATAATTTCGAACTTTAGAAGATCACTTTTCCTCCAAAGCTTTAGTGTCCATATCTCTCTGGCCCCCAGACCGTAAACTAGCAATAAAACAAGTTTATTTCTTGAGAAGTACTGAAAAATTCGGAAGTACTAGCATATTGTTGACATTCCGAATCCGTCATTCATTTTTTTCAAAGAATTAATTTCAATTTAATTCAGATTTAAATAGATTCTTTATATATCTTTAATTTAATTTTTTTCATTGGTAAAATCATAAAACCAAGCTTTTCTTCTGTGTACAAAACAAGATGCTGAACTAAGTTTTATCAATTTCAATTCAATTATATAGCTTTCAGTATCAGTGATTATTACTGAAATTTGTTTCTTGTCCGTATCTGACCACGTAACTGAGGAAAGATTATTCTATTGTCTGGTTGACAAGTGAAAATATGTGGAGCCGCAACATTAGTGAGTTTGTATTTGTAAACTTCTTCTTTGATAATTTGATAACAAGAAACCCCTATTTTGATCTCAGTTTAAAATAAAATTATGGACTTTTATGTGACAAACACTTCTTCTTAATTTGCAATTATTTTGGTAATAATTGTGTTAAATCAATTTAATAGTCACTACTAGTAAATTTATTGATTTTTATATTTTAATATTCTGAAGTTTCGCAACAGATTTCTTTGGATTTGCTTGACACACGCATACATTTTGAGAGGTGATTTTATTTTGATTTCTATTTAAATTTTTGCCCTGTATGAACATTTTCTTGAACGCAAGCCAAAACATTAGTTCATGGAGTTCAGTTCTATGAATGGCCCTATTTACAAATCTTCAGGATTCCTCCTACGTCGGGGCTTGATAAATCAAGCTTGCTGACGTTTCGCCAATCATCCTGTTGGGTTCTTCAGAGCTTAACTGAAACTCGACGACAGAGGAGGAATAAAGAAAAACGGTAAATAGTATTACAGTAGCCTACGGAAAATTTCTTTCAAAAATCTATGAATAGTCGTTGTGGAACTATGTAATGTATGTACATAATTATCATAATTGTTCTATCCGCTTGCCGGTTTATAGCAAATGTTTCGTCACAAAACAGTCGATACAGTTATTTGTTTTTAAGTAACGTAAATTATCTTATGTACAAATATTACATTGTTAGGAAAAAGATTTCACTAAAACTATGTCATTTTTTCTTACGCCCGATTCACGATACAATGTTTACTTGTAGTTCTGCATGTATCGTCAGTTAGAAATTAATATTAAAAACGTAGAAATCTTTATCTGGTAATTTTTTTTTAAATAAATTGTAGAACTGAAATCGGGACAAGGAATATGCTACATTAAATTGCCATACTATATTGTTTTAGTTTTGGGATTCTAGGTCTAATTTCTCCGAGTTTCACTCACAAATTCTCAATTATTTGGCAGTGAAAATGGCTACTAATTTTATATATACAATTTCTTACAATTTTGTAGTAGACTTGTTTCAATATTATCCTCAAAAGATAATACAAAAATGCATGTAGAAATTACATTGTGCCTACTGGGCTACTGGACTTACTAGTTTTGAAATATTCAGAAAATAATTTTTGTTAAGTCAAGCCTGAGAATCAGCATTGTGGTAATATTATCCACAAGATAATTAATTAATCCATTATGAAAATGAAACAGATCTGTTTTATTTTCTTTAACAAGAAATATGAAAGGTTATTATATTATTAAATATTTATATTTTAATGAAAGTTAACTACTCCACTAGATTTACAATCGTCAGAACTAGAAACAAACGAATTTTCATACACATAATAATAATTTTGGAAACTTTTTTTTAATTTAGTAAAATGGTTGAGTTTTTGGGAGTATCATGAATATTTTATACCTTACAAATCACTTAAGTAACAAATTAAAAAACTGTTTTAGTACAAACATTTTTTGTATTTGTTTTGATAATAATAAAAAGTTAAATAGACGATAAAAAATACAACTTAATATTTGCCTTTTCTCCAGTTTTATTATTACCTTATTATAACTTTGCTCTTAATGTATATCCAGCGGTGTAGTTGAACCTGAAAAAGAATACAAATGTTTTGCGTCACTGTGATACTGTTTCCAATTTTTAGTGTTAACGTTTATACGTACATTTTATTGTTAAATGTAAGTTATAGCTTTATGGTTTAATGAGTTAGCCTAAGGATTAATGTGGAAATATTTTTTAAAATCTCGTAGTCATTATCATTGATATCATGCTTGCAATACATTTTGTGCTGTCTCATAATTTAAAATAAAATAAATGTATTTTCTACAAATTCCGTTTTTTTAATTGCCAAAATTGATTGAGTTGATAAGACGGAGAAAATCAGAATATTACATTTAGTTTATCATGCTACAAGTTCGCAAATACCATTTTAGTCACGAGTTTAATTTGGTACGAGCGCAGCGAGTGACTGAAGTTTATCAACGTCTTGCATATTACATTTTTTCAGTGACCATTAGCTCCTTTTTTATTAAGTAATATGTGACGTAATCGTCAGAACGGACAAACGTCAAAATATGTAAAAATGTAAAAAATAAGTAAAATCTAACTAAAACATCCGATCGCTCCCAAACTCGTGACAAAAACATCGTAAATGTCCGAAGTGGCTGTCAAGCATGAGTAACGAAGCTGACGTCTTAAAGTGGTACTTTCCAGAAGTTTGAACAGACCAAAAATGCATTTAAAAAATATCCTATCAAGTTATAAGTCAAATGATACCCACTAGGTTAAATCTAAAGTTTCAAATACATAATACTTTTTCTAATTGAATTGATTTACCGCAAATCGAACAGCTTTGACGAAAAATACTCATCGATTTCAAATGTGTAAAATCAACACATATACAGGGTGAGGAATATCCATCGCACTTCGTTTTGCACTATTAAGCAGGCGTTTGAAAACGGAATTCCATTTCTATTATTTATAAAATAAATGAATGTTTGTTCCACCTAATGGTTATCTTTTGCGTGCGGCTATACCAATTTTGTTGACTCGGTTGCTAAAGCAGTTCAGAAAATGTCAAAACGTATAATACTAATAACGTTTCTTTTTAAGGCTAAAGGCTTTTTGCTTAAAAAAAATTAACATTGAGTTATTAACACAGATAACTCGATATACAAGGCGATCCAACTTTATTTTCTCACTTTAAATAATTTCATCGTTTCTTGACTTGCAATACATGTGCCTAATAAACTGCTAAAGACAAGAAAAGGGTAAACAGAACTGTGGATTATTTTTGCAGTTGGCAATACCGAAAAATATTTTATATATCTACATATGAAGGCTCATATTCTGGCAAATGTCTTACGTTTAATTACATATATGGAGGTAAATTTCAGGGAACACTCGTTTCTTCATATTTCAAAAATCATCTGGATTTGAATTATTGCATTATTTGCGTTATTAAATATTTCCAATTTTACTGTATAATTTTTTTAACCATTAAACTAGTTTAAAATCTGCATTTCAAATTCAAATATTACTTTGAAATACACATTTTGTGACGTTTCTACGAGGGATTCGAAAGCAGGTGGAGTGGAGCTGGAGTATGAATAGCAATTCGGCTAGACTTGAACATTTTTTACCAACAGTGACGTACTGACGTACAGTGTAAGAATGCACATGTCAAATTCATTTTTAGGATGAGCCTGAAAAGATGTTGAAATTATTAAAATTCGAAGAAAGAAGCAATGACAACTCGGCTACGAAAAGAATCAATATCTCAATCACTAATAAACACTAATAAAATCTATAAGATTTGTTTTTTTTGTAGACAAACAAAAATCGAATGTTTCCATGCATTTGTGAATTGAACCATCCTGTATTTTGTTACCTATATTGTTTTACATTGTACGTTTTTTACTAAGCTGCTTTTACTGTACATAAAGCGCAGCAATGCAAAATTATCGCAATTACTTTTAAATTTGCCGAACAGAACGACAAAAAAATGAAATTCCTTATTGTAACGTTCACCACATTGTACTGTTTCAATTCACTGGATGCCAGAAATATAGCGCCGGACAATGATGAATTAATTTTGGTTCACGCAGTAAGTAACATTTAAATCAGAACTCCCTTTGACACTCCAATTACATTATCTCACTATTTTAGATTATCAGACACGGTAACCGAACTCCAGATGATGAAATTTATCCTGGAAATCCATACGGTAACGAAAAATATTATGAACCGTACGGGTTCGCTCAACTGACCAATGTCAGTCTACAATATTAATCTGTTGCATGTTAAACCATATTAATTTTTTCAGGAAGGCAAACGAACGGAGTACAAATTAGGTCAAGCATTAAGAAATAGATATGGATCGTTCTTAGATAAAGAGTACCACAGAAACGATATAGATCCCAGGACGACCAACGTGCCAAGAACCAAAATGTCACTTTTATTGGTACTTGCTGGGCTATATCCTCCAACCGGATCTCTACTATGGAATCGCGCTTTGAAGTGGCAACCTATTCCGTACAATTACTACGAACATGACAAGGTGGTGAAAATAAATGAACACAATTTTTAGTCTGCAGTTGCTTGTTGATTTAATTGACGCGAAATTTGAGTCTAACGCAAAAAGTGAGCGGTTTACTTTTCAGGAACTTTCTTCGCAGTTTGTATGCGTAAATTACAAAAGGATGTATAAGAGTTTGCTAAGTTCGGAGAAAATCCAGGCACAGATTTTGGTATACAAAGATGTATACGAATATCTCTCCGATCACACCAACACAACAGTATCAACACCCAATGACGTCGCTGATATTTTTTTGGAATTGAAAGCCCAGGTAATGTGATTGTGGTGATGGAATGAAGAATGAGTTAAAAGTCACTGTTTATGCATCGTATTTGACAACTGTTTTTGCTAAAATTCTATTCTGTAGAACCAAAGGCTATATATAGAACCAAATTCCTCTATTAAAAAAATAATCAGCGCTTTGCAACCACAACTAATTTTAGCGCGATTATGGATATCAGCTTGAAAATTGGACAAGTAAATATTTTCCGTATCCGATGGAAAATATTACGAAGGACATGTATTATGCTATGACGAACACGACTAGCCTGAAGAAAATTATTTCAGGTGAGTATGGTGGCACTTCCTTCTCGCAAATCCTGAGTTATACACACAATACATGAACATTAAGTAACATTTATATATAACATAGATTTAAATACGTGTAACTAAGGTCTACTCGGTTCGGATAGTGTATTATTTTAAATGGAACACCAGGAATATTATTTCATTTTTGGATTGGGGAGTTTTTGATTGTTGAGATTGTGGTAATGTAAGTAATGGTAAAAGTAAATGTCTTTGTCATTGAGAATTGATTTATCACTCACAGGGTCTCCAAATTTTTCAAACCAATTGCGCCATTATTTTCAAAGACGCAAAATTTCGTTTTTCTTTTATATTATTATATACCAGGAATCAACATGAAATTTTCTTAAAAGTCCTCTTTTTAAGGTCATGTGCTGTGAGATAAGTACAAGATATACTAAATAACAGATACTTTTTTTTTGCAATCAGTACATTCAATCATACAATGTTTGTATTTAAAATTTTTCAATAAAATAAAGAGAAAGAAAGGAATCTTGCAATAACGAGCTACTCTGTATATATCCTACCCATTTGTTATATTCCACTTCGCAAATTCTGGATATTGAGCAGTTGTTTCCTCAGAAGGAAAAACTTGTAGAGATGTTATAGATATCTCCCAGCACCAAAAATGGTGTTCGATAATCAGTTAATCATATAATGCAACTTGATATACATATATGTGCATTTCGAATGATACAGAAACGTGACATGTACGGCCTTGCGTGCCCTCAATGTGCGATTAGGGATTAGAAAAATATAATTTTTGGATATGCAGATGTTATTTTTTGTACTGAACGCAAATTCCCAAGTTTAAAATAAATAACTAAAAATCCAGGACTTGAAGTTGCCAGGCGATTTGTAGGAAACGATATTCGTATGACATATGCTTGTGCAGAAAATAAAATAGCTGTCAAAATATAAAATAATCGTAACCAGTAGTTTTCTATAAATCAAGGAGATTTAAGATATAAACAAGGTAAATTGTGGAAACGATCAATCTGGACTGATGAAAAATTTTAAATTTTAGTTTTGGAACTGATTTGCTAAAAACTATTTATTTCTAAATCGTAAAAACACTGTCAGATAATGAGTTTGCTATGTCGAGTCGTTTACTGGATTTTTCATTGATTCTAAACTTAAATGAAATAATCATGTGAAGAAATTGCCTAAAATATGTAGAGAAATCTCTTCTTAATAAGACTCAAGACATGTTACACAATTTTTAAATCTAGCATGGCGTACCTATTGTCTGTTGGATTCAAGACAGATGCACCATTCCAGTAGAATTTTCGAAATTCAAAGAAAAGGCACTTTTTAGTCTTTATAGATTCACGTGTTTTAAAAAAATTCACTATTATAAAAACAAATGAATAAAGTCATCCTTATACCATAAGAAACATACATTCACTAAATATTGAAAATGTTGAATTTGAGTTTGAAGAAAATTTATACCGTAAATTATCTGTAAAAAAACATCTCATTTAAACGTTTCTTTTCATAGTAAATGTAATTTCTATAGTTTCGATGACTTTGTTCTATGTAAATTCTGATAAATTTTTGTATTTGGATAATTTTTTAAATTATTTAGGTTCTTTTAAAATTTTATACTTAATGTGTTCTCGGATTGTATATATTGTACTGCTTTTATAATTTTGATGTCTGATACATCGACGGAAAAAGTCTATGCTATTCGCATTTTTTTTTACATTTGAAAGACCTATTGTTACAAGCGACAAATGCATTGTAGTCTATTCTGAATTTTCTCGCAGATAGGCAATAACGCGTCCGTATAAATACACGACAATTCTAACAGATATTTGTTCGAATACTGACAAGAATGTGAATTGTTGTGTGTTTCCAACTTCATGGAGTTAAACAACACGTTGTGTAAACAAAAAACAAGACGATGGAAGTTCGACCATCCCTTAGTATTTCTAATGAATCACTGTCTACCACCTTCAAGCAAATGAATTGTTTTATATATATATATATATATATATATATATATATATATATATATATATATATATATATATATATATATATATATATATATATATATATATATATATATATATATATATATATATATATATATATATAATATACTATACTTTATATTTATTATTTATATATATTTTATATACTATATTCCGGGATATCATCCGTTCGCTTGTTGAACTCCGACTGAAATCCTGCATCCGACTGGAATCCTGCAGGCGTTTCGCCAAAATCTCACTTGGCATCTTCAATGCTCGCGCTCCGAAAACACTTCGAGTGTTCGGAGCGAGCATTGAAGACCGAATTCACAGAATACGAGCCACAGAAGTTTTGTTATGGCCACGCAACACGTTTTATCTTTAGATTATACCATATTGACACACATAATGATATTGTCATTTTCAAACATTCTGTCAATAATAATCGTATACTCGCCAATATCGACATTTTTTAACTAAACTTACAGTTTTTATAAATAATATCCTTTTAATAATAAATGTTTAGAATACATGAAAGATTACAAGAACCTCTTTGTAAATAATATTATCTAAGTCAGTTTTGCTACAGAATGTTTTGTTTTTGACCTAAAAAACAGTTTGATGTAGTCTATAATATAGCCTAATGGAAAAACATTACTTCATAAAATAATTATTGAAAAACACAATTAATGGATCTACGAACAAAATTCTATATTTAAGGATGTTTTCAAATTAATTTCACTTTTCCTAAACTGTCATAATATTTTGTCCCATTGCAAATGAGAGCAACAAACAACAGGTTAGTATGTAGATTGAAGAATCGCAGTGATTTTTTTTACAAACTTGACAAAGAAATCTTGTTTAAAAAATAAAAACCTTGTTCAATAAATACCTATTGCAAGAATACAAATGTGCCTCAAAGAAGAGTCGTGAGATTCTACCAGGGAAAAATATGTGATCGCCGAGTTCATAAATTCTAACGCTGTAAACAGCGCTCTTTGAATGAAAGCAGTCTAGAAAAGCTTCCACAAAAATATCTCCAACACTGACTCTCTAGAATATAGATATCCTGCAATTGTATAACTATTCTCCAAAAGAATTTGAACAGTAGGTGGGAGCACATGAAAGACTAACCAAAACAGAAACCCGAGTAATATCGTAAATTCAACTGAGACAATCGATTATATTCGACTCCTTTCCTGCTGCATCTAATCACATATAGCACACGCGTTTCTAAAACCCGAGAAACGCACGGTCATTAATAAATTGACCCAATTATCCAATTTAGTTCCTATGCAGGTTATTAAGGTTACGAAATGTTCCGCTTGATTAGACCCCGTTCTATTTCAGGCTTTTTAATAAAAAAAATTATCGAGGACTCCGATAAAAAAATCCGCGAGACGTTGCAACCTCCGCAAAGAAAACTGTTTATTTATTCGGCGCACGAGAAGAACATCGCCACACTGCTGCTAACTTTGGGAGTTTTCGACGACAGGATTCCTGCCTACGGAAGTTACATCCTGGTGGAAGTTCATAGAGTGAATAGGACCCACGGGTTAAAGGTAAAGGTTAAATAATGCCGATGGTATCTTAGAAATATACGTTCCATAAACTCGCTCTATACTCATCCATTTTTCTCTGCCATTTTAAATGGCATTTATCAGGAGTAGTTCCTGTAGAGTCTTACACTAATTTGACCAAAATATCATTTTCTTCAAATGCCCTATTTACAACCAAATAATTAAAAGATCTGTCAATTTATATATAATGTTACTATAACTAAATTTTAAAGTTTTCGAAATAAAAGCAATTTTCTAACAAAATCTAATTTAATCTAAAAGATAACCATGAAATATCATGACATCTGAATTTATGAAAATTGGCAAACAAATACTTCATTCACAAAATTTAAAAACCGAAGAAAAAGAATTGATATTATTATTATTATGCATTTAGTTCCTCACTTATTTTTTGGCAGTATCCAAGGCCTAATCAAAATTTCAACATGAAATCAAACGAATTTACCCGAGTACTTTCCTTAAGATATGTGCGGTGTTGGTCGCCCTGGTATCTACTGGAGATAACGATTATGTCCCCTTTTTAAAGTTCTGACTGTTCCTACTATCACTGGCACTGTTTTAGTTTTTGTATTCCGCGTCCTGCTAATTTCTAGTTCAAGATCTTGGCACATACTAATCTTCTGTTTCTTATACTGGTACATTCTGTGAATTTTTATGTGCTTTCTTGGGCTATTTTGGATATACAGATTGTTTTTTTAAATCTTTGACAAAAAACATTTGTCTATGTAAGTTAAGCATGCATTTTAATAAAAAAGACGTAATTCATGTATTTGACATAAATTCGATAAGAACGATTTATTGTTTATATTTTCGGATAATGGGATTTTAAATTTATGTTTAGAAATCATAACTTAACTTTTGATTGATTATTTACAAAGCCGTCTTTGTTTATACGCGCAAATTAAATTTTAAACAAGAATATTAGTTGACCTTATGGGAACCTATGTCGGCGTTTATATAGCACATTTTAATTTTTGTTTGTATTTTTATATGGAAATTCAATTGTACTAATTCTTGGACCATGTAGTCGTCATCTAGCAGCACAATTCGTATATTCGTATATATATGACTTCTGCTATTTAGCGGGTCTATTTTAAGTGTGCGTATCTTGAATAAGCTCAAAATAATTTTAATTTAGCTATGTAAACAGATAACGTTACCTTAATTTTAATTTGATTGTTCTTTAAAGTTTCATTTTACTTCTATTTGTGTTTGTAAATCCAGCCTAATGTCAAAGAAAATTTGATCACAAACCTTTAGAACTTAATTAATGACAGCGGAAAGTATATCGATTATAACATTTTACATTATCAGTTCCTATTTGTATTTTATTTTATAATCCTCCTTTCAAAGTGTGTGTTTCCACTTATACCTATACTTATATACTTATACTTTACCATTTTGTTGCAGTTTTACTATCAGAATTATATTGAAGTTGAGCCGACACTTGTGACAATACCGGGGTGTGCTTCATTTTGCCCATTGACCCAATTTGCGCAACTGATGAAAGAATATGTACCTGAAGATGAAGACTGTGAACTAAAAAATGATTGAATGTCAGTTTTGTTGTGCACAAATATCGTATAAATGTTTTAGTAAAACAAGAACTAGTAATTTCATTATTGAAATAGAACAATATTATATATACAAAAATATATCGGAATAAGTTCAGAAAAACTAGTATTGCAATATATATAACCTGTAACTTGGAGCACCTTGTAAAAATGCAAAATTTTAAAACCTAATTGCCACGAATAAGAAAAAAAACATTTTTGCCTCAGAGTGCCCCCCAATCAGGGCAACGAGTATGGGGGAAACAGATGGTCCTAGAAACTTGAAAAACAAGATTGCATAAGTAAATCATTTTTTTAATCGGCGTTCTACAAACATTTCTAATGCATTGTATACTGTTTTAAAACTGCGGCAAATTTAACTACTTTTGTTTAATATTCTGTGCTTCATCTCTGCAAGGAAAGTGGTAAGGGGTATTCAAATATTTTCGAAAATACATATCGCCGACTTTAGATAGGCTTAATTCATTTTAATAGATTTCGAGTATTTAAAAAAAGATTTTCCCAGGTTATCAACAGTGTTATGAGTAAAACGATTGCGAGTAACCATGATTTGACATATTTACCTATTTTTAAATATCTAGTATTATAATTTTCTTTTTCTATGAAAATTATATTTAATCACAAACTCGGCCCCCAAGTAAGCAATTGTTGGAGACGAACTACTTTTGCTATCTATTTACATTTTAAAGTAATAAAATGTGGAAAGCTATTTAAGAAATAAATACGGATTTTTTCACGAGACGTTAAGTATCTTTCATGTCGTTATTTCGTGCTTAACTTGTCTTGATTGGTTACCGTCTCCAATACTTTAAATTCACCTAATATTTGAATTGCTTTTCTGGAATTTTTGCTTAAAAAAGCGTTTATCCTAATCCAGTGTCTGAAAGAAATCAACGCCTTAGGAATTAAGAAAAATCTTGATTTTTTCAATAAACATTTTGAAACTTATACAATTTACTTATTAATTGAAGACTACTAATAATTAATACAATCGATAGTCTCCAACAATTGATTAGTTCTGGTTATAGTTGTCTAAACCTAATTCTAAGTATACAAGTGATTGTGATAAATTAATTGAAAACGGGCAAAGATATCAAGAAAATTTTGTGTATTAAAAAAAAAGTAATAAAGATGAGATGGTTTAAATTTTTATTTAGTACACACTTTTGAGCATTATATGGATAAATCTTGATCTTTTTGGTATCTAAAATTATTCGAAGAAACTTCCACAGGCTACTGTAATGGGGGCTATACACATGCAGGCAAGTCCGCGCGCAAGTGTGTCCAGATAAATCCGCGAGCAAATGCAAAACGAATTGCGGCCTATTCAGGTAAACGTGTAGGTTCGTCAGTTGGTGGGACCTGCTGCTGCGCGAAAAATGAAGTTGGCCTTCGCACGTGCTCTAAAAATCAGACACAATCTGATTCGCTTCGAGCCGCGCTTAGAACTGAATGCGCCGTGAGTTTTGACACATACACATTCGCACTTACTCGCGTGTCTCGACCTGTACAGGCAAGTCTTAACACTTGCCTGCATGTGTATAGGCCGCTTAATACTATTTACAAAACTTCTGGATTCCTACGTTTGCTTGAAGGTGGTAGACACTGATTCAGTAGAAATACTAAAAGGATGTCGAACTTCCATTGTCTTTATTTTTAACTTACACAACGTTTCGGACAGTAGTATCACTACCCGTTATCTAGTGTAAACTGTTCAGTTAACACTTGATAACGGGTAGTGGTACAACTGTCCGAAATTTTGTGTAAGTTAAAAGTAAAGACAATGGAAGTTCGACATCCTTTTAGTATTTCTTCTGGATTCCTCTTGAGTCGGTTGTTGTCAAGTCGAACTTGCTAATGTTTCGCCAATCATCCTGTTGGCTTCTTCAGAACTTAACTAGATTAGACTCAACAACATCCGACGCAGGAGAAACCCGGAAGTTTTGTAAATGGTAGTATCTAAAATTAGTTTTATTATTAAAATAGCCCTTCCGACCATTTAATTTAAATACCTTTTAGCAGTAAGATTTATTAAAAATTTTTGATCTCTCCTTTTCTTCTTATATCAATCAGTCTTCTAAACCTTCGACAAATATTTTTTGATACTTATTTCCAAATTATCTCGAGTCCCCCCCCCCCACCCAACGGCACCACAATCAGAATCTGTTCGCGAAATATAGAGGACCAAAAATCATAAAAAGACCCATTTGTTCCAGCTTTATAATAATGTAATTTTCGCGCGGTATATTCTGCAGTTAGAGTATCGTTTTTAACGGGTGAGTTAATAATTCATTAAAGGTTTAATTGAATCACTTACAATTTTTAATGAGGCTTAACCTAATGCATTTTGAACAAATCGTCTTTTAGCACCTTATCTTTGAAAAACCTCGATCTCAAGGCTTTAACGTAAATAACTCAACGACTCAAGCCTCATTGCGAAAAGTATTCGATAATATCATGAAATAGGTTTTATTTTTGTTAACACGGTATCTATTAATGTACAAAATTTAAGAAGGAATAATATATAACAAAGCAGTTCGGCACATTCGCTTTTCAATATTATGAATGGTAAATGGTACCAGATAATATTCCGTTAAAAATGTGTAAGTTACCTTTGGTACTTTTGAATATTTCATGAATAAATTGAATTTTATGATTGTCGATTTGATTTCTTTACCAATTTATTTGGAGTTTGATTTAGAAAAAAATACTTTCTCCTTGTAGCATTTTGAGATCGTTAATCCTTTAGCGATGTCAACAATCCCGTAGGGCGTCCCGTTTTCTTTCAACCGTGATCAACCTTAATTATTATTATATTATATTGTATTATATTAATTACTATCATATATTGGAATATGGAAGAAAATATTCATATTTCTATTCCTATTCTATCTGTTATGCTTTCCTGGCCTACTGGCCAGGACATGGCACTGCATTATGGCCTTCCGATCCATTGTGTCCGCAAATCGTCACTTCCTCCCCTAGAAGAGCTTTTTACCATCGCCGAAATACTGTAAATTGAGCTCCTAGTACTGTCTAGTTGGTTGCTCCCTAATAGTGGGCATTTGGTTAGGAGATGAATTCAGTTTCTTCTGTCCTATATAGAGAAGCCTTCTTAGATGGCAGTGTCCTGCTAATGTTCCTACCAGTGTAAGTTCGAAGTAATTATAAAAGCAAAAACAAATTTCCTATAACATAACAAAACTTTCCCAACTAATAGTAAAGATATTGTAGACCATGGAGCATATTTTTTAGGGAGATACTGTTGAAGGTTTTGGAAAAAATTCCTCCAAACAAAACATACGAACATGACACGTCGGGGATTATGAAAAATAAACAAAAAACAAAAAATGTTATGTTATGTTTTTTAGTCTGTCTATCCCAGCCCTTTCCCGAAGCATTGAAAATGAACACTGTGATAATGATATTTCAAACAAATGATAAAACGGTGAAAACTATAATGCCACTTCACTCAGTTTTAGTAAAATTTTTCAATATTGTTTTTTCCTGTCATGAGTGTCATGCAATTTGATAATGGACGGGAGCGACTTGTTTTGGTCTTTTGTGGCCTCTGAATAAATTAGACTAAATCAAAGGTGCTGGTTGGATATCCTTCTTTCTTTTAAATAGAAAGCAAAAAGCAAAGGATAGATCAAATTTATTCTGTTGAAACGAATATTAAACTGAGAATTCTACAGGGCTACCGCGTTATTTCTACTATATGTGAATGATTTAGACAGTTGTATAGAAAAATGAGCAATATTGACCGAGTCTGCAGACGACACTACCATTATAGCAGCATACTGGAAGTAAATTATAACATAAGTCTAGGAAAGCTTAAACATACAACAATAACTAGTTATATCTGCAAAACCCAAAAACCATTTATGTTCGTTTTCACAATAGGCACGATACTACCTTCAATTTGCATATAGGACAATTCTTGAACAGTTCAATTAAAAGGGTCATTGTGAAAATACAGGGCGTTCAAAGAATATACAAAGAGATTTTAGCGGGCGATTCCTTGTCAAAAATTACGAAAAAAAATTATAAAAATGGGTTCGGAAATGCAAGATACAAGGTGTTAAATTGAAAAAACAGTAGCGCAAACAATAGTCTTAAGGTGTCCGCCTAAATAAAAAATTAAAAATAAAATAAAAATTTTTTGGTGATATTTCGCAAAGAAAAAAGGAAATTTATAACCTCCGGGGGAGATAAAAATCCTGATCTGCGAATATATAACAGATTGAAAATGCAATTAAGAATACTTCCTCTTTAAAAAACTCAATTTTTCCGGGTCAAGATCTCTAATGACTTTCATAAATAGAAATTTTATTTTATATTTTATATTTAGTGATTCTAAACAATCCTGTAATAGACAAAGGAATAAAGAAATCTTAATTTGACTAAATTTGAGTCTTTTGGAAAAACGGATTTTTCGAAATTTCCCAAATTACTAACACCAAACTTGTTCTATTGTTAGTTTAGGATCTAGGACAGTAGACACAAAAGCTTAGGACGAAACCTGACTTTTAGTTGTATTAATTTATACGGCAATTACTAAATTCTAGAAGAGTAAATTGGCAGTAAAGATTTGCTTGTCGAAAAATAGTGCCAATAATACGTTATTCTTATTTATTTTTTGGAACACCCTCTAAGAACCATTTTTCACGCATAGTTTTAAAAAATATGTTCGCTATAATCTGATTTCTTTCGCGCCAAATTGAGACAAGGAAGAATCTAGTATTTTATTCTCCAGCAGGCGAGCATCTGATGAATCGAGAGATGTCTATTTAATTAACGGGAATTACAATAAACGTATTTGTGTGGCATTTACGCGAAGACAGAGGAAAAAAGAGTTAATGTGTGACATATAAGGAACAGATCGGTGTTCAGCGAAACCCACATATTAATATACCGTCTTGCTGTCGCCCTAGTAAGTAAGTACGATCGGACCGACAGCAGTGCTCAGATGGATGCGGGCCGACTTAGCAGCATCTCTCAATAGTGGTAGCAGTAGTGGCGGTGTGACAGCGAGCGCCGAGATTTCATTTTTAAAACAGTGACAAGGACAATGGCTTTTAGACCGACCGCGTTTGCTCTAATTTTTCTCGGAATCGTATTTTTGGTGGATGCCGTCTCCTTGGATTTGGGTAAGCCGAAAGTCTTGCCCGAAAAATATAAACATGATTCAGGTTTTCCTGATTTGGCGATCACCTGTTGATTCAAATCAAATCAATCAATTCAAATGGAGCTAGTAAAAAATACACATACACGGTGTCACACTTAAAATTATACAAGCTGGTATTTCGGTAGTTTGGGGGCAAATTGCATTTTTTGTGCCAGGGTCTACTTTTTTTTACCACAAAAAAGGATTTGGTTTGTTTTTTTTCGAGTATTTCAAATTTGATTAATCATATCGGGCAATTGTCACAGATTTTATTTATCACAAAATCAAACCTTTCAAGGGTATGAGCTGTAGTACTTTTTATTTTTAATAAAAATACACCTATACAATGCCAAATCAAAAACAAAAACAATCCCTTCAGAAAAAATTAAGAAATTGGTTTTAGTGGGATACTATTACAATATTATAAGAAAATTTTTTTTTATTTTTTTATTTTTTTTTTTATTATATTTTTTTTACTATATATAATTTGATAAAATTTAATAAAATGGATATTTTCAGAAACTGTTAAATTATTTCAGCATCTTAAAGCGTTTCTTGATTGTCTCCTATCATACAATCTCACATCCGTAGGCCGTATCAAAAAGAAAACAAAAATAATTTTTTTCACTCCCAGCTGCAAAATACCTAATTAAACACCTACCTAGCCTGCGGAAAGTGTCATTTTACCACGTTAGTTTCGTTTCCCATGGATCTAAGCCAAGGTACTTCGGGGACATTTCCGGGATATCAACGTACGGATTTGGGAGCAATCAGATGTTTTCATAGATATTAGCACGTCTTGAATTTGAAAAACTAACGGTCTAAGAAAAAGTATAGTATGTAACTGGTTTGGTAATAGTAGATTTTGCAACAAGTGTATATTAAAACCCTTTACAGGGAAAACTGGTAGTTTCGTACTTAATTTCTTTCATTTCATTGAACAGTTAATAGTATATTATGCAACAATTGTGACAAACCGTATTTGAGTCACAGATTTATTTGGCACGAGTCACTTAAAAAGTTTACGTGTTGCATACTGTACTTTTCCTACGATCGTTAGTTTTTGGGTACATTTTTGCAAAACATTAAAAAATACATTCACTAACATGACCCTCGGACTTGACAAACGTCAAAATTCCCGTGCGCTAATATCCCTGAAATATCCGAACTGACCTTTCCTTGGGAAACGAAAGTGACGTGGTAAAATGAAACTTGCAACTTGCGAGATAGGTGTATAATTGAGTATTTTACAGCAGGGAGTAGAAAATAGTATATTAAGCGTCAATGGCATTTGACCCACGAGTTTATTTGACACGAGCGGAGCGAGTCTTTAATAAACCAGTGACTTAAAAAGTTTACTGAACGTGTTACATACTATACTTTTTCTACGACCGTTAGTTTTTGGGTACATTTTCGCAAAACAACACGAATACGTTCACTGACATGACTGTCAGAATTGACAAACGTCAAAATTCAAGGTGTGGCAAATATCTCCGTAAACATTCGATTGCTCCAAAACCCGTGCGTTAAAATCCCGGAAATGTCCGAAGTGGCTCGGATCCGTGGAAAACGAAACTGACGGGGTAAAGTGACTCTTCCCGCACGCTAGATCGGTGTGTAATTAGGTATTTTACAGAGGGGAGTAGAAAACTTTTTTAAGTCACTCGTTTATAAATAAACTTGTTGCATAATATAATTGTTGCATAATATGCTATTAAAATTAGGACAGTAATGTGAACCCCATACCCTTCTATTTTTTCAAATAAGCGAATAATTTTCATGTGTTGCTATTCGATTATTTGAAAATTACTGTTCCGAAATTTTCAATTATAAAATCCTGTCTGACCAAGACTAAATACTGATCAATATTTTTTACTAAGGAAATTTAGAAAATTTGGGAAAATTACATACATATCCATCAAAATTAATTTTTATGTACTATCAAGTTTGTTAGCCAACCATGACCAAATACTGCCATCAAAGAAAATAATGTCCGATGGTAATGACTGAGGTTTCTAAATTTTGCCGCAATATAAAAGCGAGTAGCAACTTCCAGACAAAAATACGTACAAAACCTGTGACATCTACGCATCTCTTAACGATGGACGTACTCAGGATGTTTTTCTCACTCTTCTAAGAATAAATTGCTACACGGCTGCAATTCGCGTGTGCTGTTAAAAGGACAGGATATTTTTTGCTGATACAGGTACGTCCGCAATCAAGATTGTATTCGGAATTTCTCGCTTCCGTATTGAATGTGATCGATCAAATATGTAGTATAGTATATTCTAAAGTCGATAGCCTATTACGAGTATCTGGTAACTAACAGAGATACTGTTCAGAAATTTTGGTTAGGGTCATAGGAAATTGTGGAGACATTTTAAAAATGATCACTTTTGCAGCGTTGCCAGTCCAAACTACTTTGGAATGTTAAAGAAAAACCGTATAGGTCATTTTGTATTTGTATTAATTACACTTGCGATATACTGTTTTAAGTAATAAGTTCATTTCTTAAATTATTGTCTGGATACATTGCCTACACATAAAAAAGTTTTGTGTTCACGAAACAACTTATCTAAGCAAAGTTTTGTCAGGTACATCTGATGAAAACAAATAACCTGCCAATTTTCATTATAAAGAAAATAAAATATTTGACTATTAAATAATCAATAAGGTATTTGCAGCTGCCAGAAAATGCCACCTTACAGACTAAGAGGGACACGAATAGGACGTGTTATCACCTATCGTGGGCGACTTGGAAACTATTGAGTCAGGTGCATAAAACAATGAGCGCCACGCGAACCTATGGCAATATGAACGGTTTTCTGAGTATATAACGTTAACGTTAATCTATTATTTATAAAATACATTGTTCGCTTATCTGCAAAAGTACTAAATTTATTGAAGCAGTTTCCGAAATAATATCTATCTATCGTCCGCTGCTATAACTAAGGCGAAGCCATCTAAATACTGTACCAGAGTAGAAAGTATGGGTAAGTTTAACCACGTATAATATACAGGGTAACTCACTACTGCGTTATTCATTGATTTCTACTAAAAGTTTATTATACCGAAAATGTAATGTGCTGCATGTAATAAAAGTAGTAAGTATTTAGCAGATTCCATTTCTGGGGAATTTTGGCGTTAAATTAATAAACCCTGTTATCGTCCGATGGCTCAGACAAAATCCATTTGGCTTTTTGGAAGCACATATTTGGTAGAAATTAAAAAATTATTAATTATTCCTAAACAGTTATAACTTTTAGGTAATCTAGACAACGCTGCGACTGCAAGCAAAATTTGTAATATATACCCCTACGTAATATTAATCTAGTAAGTAGTGTAAGTGTTAGTAAGAAATAAAAACTACTAGAAATAAATAGTCCACTTATAAAGTATTTTACAGAATTTTACTTACTTTTGGGTTTCTTGCATAAATTTACTCTTATTAACTAAGTAATCTGAAATATGCTTATATAGGATCACTTGCATTGCAAATACATGCATTTATGGTAAAAAAATCTGATTTGTCAATACCAGTGTTCTCTCTCACAATTCATCAAACGCAAATACAAATTTTCTTTGGGGCGGTCAATTCACTTTTTGCTGTCATCTGTACTGGTTCTTGAATTGATATCTTTTGATATTAATTTACAAAACTGACTTGTCTCACCTTGTCCTGGTAACCAAAGTTTTCGAGATGTTGGTGCTCGTACCGTTTCCCCAAGACTGTCAAACCTATGTCATTCTTCAAAAAAATGGAGTTTGACACTTTAAGGCATTCTAGGCCTACATATTTGAATCTATGCAACGGCATCTGAAGAGACATTATTTCATATATAGCATTTTTGTGTGTTCTGTCAATTTTTCCTTAAAACTGGAGTCGTCGCTAAACTTTCTACCAGATATCTGCTAAATGATGCCGGATACGCAAAGAACTCTAGAAAAACTGAAATATATTTTGTGATAGACGTAGGGTATATTAGGCTCGTCTGAAATCATGTATCGGCCATTAAGTCCGGGATTACATTCATCATAAACAAAAATAACTCAATACAATACTCATTTTTTGCACACAATATTTAAAATACATCATCACTACACTACTAGCCATACTAGCCGTACTACCCGTATGGCTAGTACGGATATAGAGGCCCTATGCCGATAATACGGGAACTTATGAAGCAACTATGAAAAAAATTTTCGTCACTAAGTTTGGATGAATCATTTCTACGATAGTATTTTCACAAAATATATAGATCTCGTCAAATGTTCTAAGAAAACGAATTGAGGCTGTGAAAAATCGTTGTTTAGAAAGCAAAAATCTCAAAATTCAGGTTACTTGGTGAAATGTAGAGGCATGCGCGGAAAATCGTTACCCTTGCAGGTTGTTGTGCAGACAATTATAACTTAAGTATTTGATATCGAACAATGGTCAATTTACTGAATTTAGGCTGGCCAGAATACTTTACTAATTATTATTATATTTACCTTGCTTAATCTAAAAAATATAGTATTTCGAGGATTCCCGTGCATTTTGGTGGTTAGAAAATTTATTTCTATATTAGTCTACAGCATCGGTCGCCTACCTGTCGACCGCGAGCTACCGGTAGCTCGCGGAGGCCATTCTGGTAGTTCTCACTACCATTTTAATTTTAAAAATACAAACTGCAAAAATCAGAGAAGCTTCAAAATTCCACAAAAAATTTAATTGTCATAATATTAAACATAAACAATTCCACTGTTTCTTCCAAACTTAACAAAGTAGCTCAACACATTGAAGAGGTTGGCGACCGCTGGTCTAGATATTATAATTTAATAAAACAACCAATTCGGCGATTTATGTAAACTAACTTAATGACTTCATTTTAGGTATAACAAGATTTAGCCTTAAACTACAACTGCGCAGTGTTTTTTTTTTACAAAAAGACCCTTCCCTAACGCAAGGCGAATAAAAATTAGCCTTTCTTGCATTGCATTGCA